GGCCAGGAGCTCCCTGAACTCGGCTGTGGCACTAGCTCTGGCCTTGAGGCAAGTCTCAGCCTCCCATGGCTCTGCACCCTCCTGTGCAGCGGGCAGGGCCCGAGCCTTGCTGCTGGGGCTGGGGAAGGAGCCACGGGCTGTGCCTGTGGGACCCGGGGCGAAGTGACCCCCCCTTGGCAAAGTTCATCCCCCACTGAAGTGTTGGGAGCCGGCAGCATCCCCACAGCCTGGGGAGCTGCAGGGCTGGACAGGTGGGGAGGGGGTGGCAGGGTGGGCTGGGAGCATCCTTCCGTGGCGCTGGGAATGGCCACGAGCATCCTCTGCCTCCCCCCTGCCACCACGGAGCCACGTGAGCGCCCAGCCCACGCCTGCCTGCAGCATCGCCAGCTCGGCTCACGGGACTGGGGACATGCGCTGGCCTGGGCGGCGTCCCCAGGGCTGGGGCTTAACTCGGTGTCCCTTTCTCCGGGGCAATGCACCTTCTGGTGCTGCTCTTTGGCATTTGGAGCACCCATGGGTGCTCCACTGGGTGATGCTGCAGCCAAGCTCATCCGCAGCCTCTGCGCAGGGACCTGGGGCTCTTCCCTTCACCCACCCACTGATTTTCACGAAACCGGTAGAGCAGAATGGTGTTTGTAGCCTTCTCTTAGCCCATTGCAACCAAAATCTGGCAGCAGCTCAGCCCCTTTGGCAGGGGCTGCCAGCAGATGCCTGAACTGAGGCTGAGCCATCGCAGACCCCACCTGAGCACCCTGGCCTGCTGGGGGGTCCTGCTGGGGGCTGGGGGGGGTGTGTCTCCCCATGGAGCCCTCTCGGAGCAGAGCTGGCAAGGGATCAAACAGTGCAAATGGAGCTGGGCTGGTGTAGGATCAGCCCGGGGTTTTGAAGCTGGGTCTGGTGGCGAGGGCTTCGCCAGGGCTGGGGGCTGCAGACCCCGACCCTGTGCGGCGGCGCTGCTCGAAGAGGTGCGGGCTCAGACTGACCCCCACCCGGGGATTGCTGCCTCACCTTTTTGCAAGGGAAGGAGGTGGGGTTCAGAGGGCTGGGTACATCGGGCTGCCTGTTTGGCCCCCAGCCCTCTAGGGAGGCTTTTGAGCTTGGCTGATGCTCCTAGGGGTCTCTATGGGTCTGCCTCCCCCCCGCACCTCGTCTGCCAGGCAGAGGTCTCCCACGCGGCCATTTCTTTGGGAAAAAAAATGCCTTTTCCTGACTCAGCGGGGCGTAATCTGCTCCCACAGTGGATCGCGTTCATCTGGGAAAGGAGCTCCAATTGCCGGCGAGGGCTGCACGTGGAACGGCTCTGGGTGTGGGACACGGAGGGGCCATGGGGAGGCTGGTGGAACCCAATTCCCTCGTGCCGCCACTGTGTGTGAGCCCCTCGATGGGCAGGGGTACCCCAGACCCAGCCTGTGCCCAGGGGCTTGGCCACGGAGGGGGCGAGCAGCCCCGAATCCCCCTTGCCAGGGCAGGGAGGGGGCGAGCAGCCCCCAATGCCCCTTGCCAGGGCGGGGAGGGAGCAGTGTGGAGGCTGGGGGTGTTTTCCTGCGCTGCACGTGATTGGGAAAAGCATCCATGGGTCTTTCTCCATCCCCAGCATCCTCCGTCACCCATCCCAGTAGGACCCGAGTGAAGCAGGGGCGGGATGACAGGGACGGGGCGCTCCCGGCCGGGGTGGCACCCAGGGGCTGTTTGCAGGGATGAGTAAAGCAGCGAGTCACACTGATTTAAAAAAACAAAAAACAAAAAAAAAACCAAAAAAAAAACCCAACCACAAAACCCCAAACCTTTTTGCCTTGGCCTGGTGCTGCTGGGTGCCTGCCC